CCCCCCACTGGCTCTAAGCAATGCAATTGGTCTAGCAAAGGTACTGACATGTAACCTTGAAAGTAATGTGACAGGTCAGTGATGCTGTGCCTATAGCTTTCAACTAGTATGTGTGAGCTAGAACAAGTGCCACTGTCGGCCACGCTGTCAGCGGAAACTGAGGTTCAAGAAAGAACCCATGACATCTTGGGGCATGAGGGCTTTACATCAAAGCTGTAGGACCAACCCCAAAAACACAAGATAGTTCCTTAAACTGTGTTATGCAGATTACTCCTTCTTTGTACCTCTCTGCATGTTGCAGAGGTGTTATTGTGTCTCCTACCTAACACAACTCTCAACGCTCATGAACTTCCCACCATTCTTACAGTCACTTGTCCCCAAATCACTCACCTCTACACAAATTAATAAAACCCAGGTTCAGTCCTGGGTTGAGGCCTTTGTTCCAATTAGTCATTTTTCTGATGGAACATAGGACCCCTTTGGCTCCCCACCACTACAGATATATGTTTGTCTATTTGATATGTTTTGTCACTTTATTTGTACTGCACATTGCACTGGAAGTGGTAGCTTGCAATTACTTATTGGAATTCCAATAACTTTTCCCTGGGTTTGCTATGGTTTCAGTGTTTCAGAAACACTGACAGAATATCTGTGATTTGGAGGCAAATTTATTTTATGTTGAAGGGCATTGATCATGATCATGCCTAAAATATCAGGCCTGAAGGCTCAGAGAGGGAGGTTTTTATGGAATGGAATTGAAAAGGAAAGTACAGAAGTAGAGTACTTGCTGTCTTGGATTGGTTCTTAAAATATGTATCATAATGACCAGCTATGCATCTGTGACCAGCCATTTCTAGGAGACAGAAGTAACAGGAACTTGTAATTGGGCAACTAATAGACCGGTGGGGGTGGGAGGCATTTTCTGCTACAGGATTACAAATGTGGATTCCTCCAGACCATGAAGAGGCCAGAGTAGGGTTTCTAAAAGGGTCTCACACAGTCAGTAAATTGCCTAGGGTATGCTTGAGCTTGATGTCCTGCCACATTAGCCTCCCAGGGTGCTAGGATTACACAAACAGGCACCACACCCAGCTTTACTATAGGACTGTGGAGGGCAAGGTGTTTTAGGCTGCAGTTGCTGTCCCTTAAATCTGCCCCCTGTGACTCTACACCCACAAGTCTAGGCCCCAGTTCCATTGTCCTAACTTCTGTCTGAGCTGTAATGTCTGGGTGGAGAGTCTGCTTCACTGGCTCAGACAACTCTGCTGTGTAGTTCTTAGAGACATGAACCAAACATCCATTTTTCACATTTCTCTGAACCTCTTCACTACTCTACCCAAAAGAAAAAGTAAAAGTTTTGTTTTGT